ATAGGGGCTAAAGGGAGGAAGCAAGGTCCTATAAAAAGAATGCACTGAAACTCCCGTTGCTCTGGTCTTTCCATTTTTTGATGCTGGCATGGAGCTGTTGCTATCTTCTGTTAACTAGTTTCATTTGCTATTTAATGCATAAGGCAAGACAAGTCCCTGCGTTTGTCACAAACTGTATATGCTCCTTTAAGACATATTTGAAGTTTTTAGCTGCTGATTTGGGGGCATTTTTACATGGAAACAATCAGGGAAGCAACATCTATATTTGAATGTAGTGTAATCTATCAGACTGTGTCCTGTATCCTATTTAATCTTGTCTTAAGGCCTTGCTATCTGAGATTGGAGGTTTGGCACCGTGTTCTTGTGGTTATTTTATCTGCTTATTTTGTGAGGGGAGTTACTGCTTTACTCTGGAGGAGTGAGGTGTTTTGGTTTGTAGGCAGTGAGAAAACTACATCTTTTGGCTTTCATCCTAGTAAATATTTAAGTTTCCTCCGGCTACTCTGATATCTTCTTCTCAGGCTGTTCCCATACTGGCTTTTTCTTTTCTCTTCCAAATGGATTTTCTGATTGTACTGAAAGGAGATGCCCTTCAAAATACAAAACTCGACGAGCTAAAAAGCAGTCTCAGTCTCCTTGCAGCTTTATGCCAGGTGGATCCAGAGGACGCTGACAGTGCCCACGTGTTGCTAGTTAGGCTTGTGCTGTCCCTTGCAGCGAGACAGTGATGATGATGACCGGAGCAGTGACCGGGAGGACGGACCTCTGGAGGAGCAGATAGAGCGCTTGCAGGAGAAGGTTGAGTCAGCACAGAGCGAGCAGAAGAATCTCTTCCTTGTTATATTCCAGGTAATGCTGGGTGAGCTCTCCTCTCTTCAGGCTTTAAAGGTCACTGAATTTACAAGCTTTCACGTCGCTTGTATCTCGGGCATGAGGATATAGGAAAGAGCTGTGGGACTTGCTGTGGTTTTAGAGTTGATCCTGAGTTGATCCTTCGCCCCACAGCAGGCTGCGGCTGAGCAGATGGGACCTCTGTAGTTTTATGCACACAGGAGCAAAATTCTTTGGCTGTGTGGATTCCTGAATGAAAAAGTAACTTTTTTTTTTTTTTTCTTTTTGGCTGGCAAAATCCAGCGTCTGTAAAGTGAAACAGTTATTTTCATGTTGTTATTTAAAGTTTCTGTTCTCTAGATGCACTTACCTGAGGTTAGGAGCTGCCGTCGTTTGATGGCATTGAGTGAATGCATTTTTTTTCTTTCCTCTTGAAGCGCTTCATTATGTTGTTAACTGAGCACTTAGTGCGCTGCGAGACCGGCGGAATTGATGTATTTACGCCGTGGTACAAGAGCTGCATAGAAAGGCTGCAGCAGATCTTCCTGCAGGTGAGTGCCCTCCCTCTGCTCGGCTCGGAGCTGTGGGCAGGAGCTGGTGTGCTGGTGGCTGCTGAGCACAGCGGTTGTAGTCTCTGTTAAACCAGGTAACTGGGTGACAGTGACAGCAATAGAAAATTGTACCTGTGTGAGCAGAAGGTGCGTGGAAAAGTGGGTGACTGCAAGGAGCGGCGCTGTAGTCCTCCCGCAGGCTGCAGCTTGGTCTGGTCACAGATGTGGCTGCAGATTGAAGCGCAGCCTTGGGTCCGTTGCAGTGCCTCTGAGCCGTCCCTGACTCCTCACACCCAGCTCAGTGTCTAGGGCTGAAAAGCCCCCCGAAGTGCAGCGCTTCCTGGCACCATATAGCAGTGTGTGCTTTTCCTTTCCACCAACCCCGCGTCGTGCTTTTCTAGTCAGAGGTGTGCGTGCCGTGGAAATGGAATGTGCGTGGCAACTTCGATGACAGCTTTTCACCAACATAGGTGTCTTTTGTCTGCCAGCATCACCAGATAATCCAGCAGTACATGGTGACCTTCGAGAACCTCCTGTTTACAGCTGAGCTGGATCATCACATACTGGCCGTCTTTCAGCAGTTCTGTGCTCTGCAGGCCTGAGGAGAATTCCTGGGTGAAGTCTTGTTTTCAGGACTGTAACAATTTTTTTTTTTTTTTAACTTGACATGGGGATGACAAAAACTTTTTGATTAAAACTGGCTTTCATATGCTCCTACATAAAACAATTCAGTTCTCTAACCAACAGCAGTCTGTAAGCATCCTAAGCCTTACTAGATATAACTCTTAGGGGATTGACATGAAGTAGTGTGAATTCTTCAGATCTGTTCTTATTTTGGTTTGACTCTGGATTTCATGGTAGTATTTTTCTTTCTCCCTTGTTTATATAAAAATGAAAACTGGGGAAAAATCAATATAGGATTTGTTACCTCTGCCTGGCCCTTAAATCAGAGAAATTGCAGAAATGTGAAGCAGTTTGTAGTGTTTTCAAAGTGTGAAAGGGAATGCACTTTCTAAGTGAGCAGTGTGATAAAGCCTCTAGTATGGCATAGGAAAAGTGTCTTAATTTGGGGCATGTGAAACAATGCGTTAAGCTTTTAAAGTAGTATAGAGCGTACGGATTGAGTATGTTTTTAAAATGTATTGTCTGGTGTCTCATTCCAGTAGCTATAAGCAATCAGTAGAGGAATTTGATGGATAAGCTCTGAAAAATGCAATCCTTTTTACAGTCTGGTCAAAATTACGACCTCTTCTTGGCAGTCGCTTCCACCAATAAATAGGAGCAGCGAGCAACACCTGGAGTGGGATAGATTTTCTGCTTTGGTAACTGCACCCCTGACTGTGTTTTAGGGCTGCCATGCCACCGAACCAGACCTGCAGGCCTGCAGTGCTGCCAGAAATGCTTCTGTTACCCATGGTGGATCAACCAGGTGCCAGTGCTTGTCTGGCTTAGCAACAACTGCTCTGTGGTGGCCGTATCTGCTACGGCAGCACGCAGCTCCTGTGTCACCTGAAAGCATTTTGATGCTCACTGAAGAGGTTTCTCGCCAGGAGACTCAGACTGGGGAAACACGTAACCTGAAAATAGAGTAGCCTTAGTTTTGAGTTATGCAAATAACATTACTTATAGAAATGCCAAATCAGAGTGGTCTGTGTTATGACAAGCAGTGATGAGTGGCAAAGACACTGCCTTAGGTGCTCAGGTCTGTACTGTACAGTATACTTCCAAGCTGTTTATGTTCTCTTTACTTTGTGGGTGAATGTTTAGAGAATTTCATACCCAGTGCTACACAGTTCAAGCTTGAAACCGATGAATTTTAAGTAATTTTGTTCCTGTACAAATTTTTTTTTTCCAGTGTTATGCTCCGTAATGCAATTCATCCCAACATTAATAAATTGACCTCCTAATAAAGTGAGGAGAGCAAAGAGGAAATTTTTTTGAGTGTTGACGTAAGCTTGTACGTGGCTTGTTGCAGTTGGATGTGTCCTCATAGACTTCAGTTTGTTACTTCTGCGTTCACTGCTTACCCCCTCTGGTTTGACTGAGCCCTCTCTTCTTTAAGGTTTACTGTTATGTGTTATAAATTTGCTTTATGCAGAGAGTTTTGTCAGTCATGCACAGTTCTGCTTCAAATCTTTCTGTTGATGTTCTTGAGCAATTAAATAGTGTTTTTTTAAAAGAAACATTTAGCATTGTAGAAGTTTTAATTGGGGTTTGGCTCTTTTCTTCCACTGTCTCAGATGAGTAAGGAGTTCTGGTGTTAACTAATGATGGGGATCTAAAGGACTGTAAATGTGATTTCTGTAGAAGTGACAATGTGGTTACAACGTGCAAACCTGTAACTTGCTCTGAGCCTCGACAGTGGTGCTGGGGATCCAGTTGCAAATACTTGCACGTGGACAGCATAATCCTATGGCTTAAAACCAAATTTGCACTTTCACTATGAGTGGAGTTCCCGTGATGGGTTTTGACATCTCAGTAGTCTGTTGGAAGCTTCCCCTCTTTCCAAGTCCAGCAGCACACATCTGTCTTGACTTGGGAAACTGGTTGGTCCATAGGAAGAATGAGATGCTTGTACCAGCAGCTAGCCAGCTTGAGAAACGTGGAACCGCGGAAGCGTGGGGTGGTGAATAGTGTAAAGGTGCTGTAGAAATGTGGTGTGGTTGGAAAAAAATGCACAATTATTAAAGTCAAAAATAAATGAAGGCGAAGCAGGTTACTGCTGTGTTTGTCCTACCTTTGGGGGGAGCTGCTGAAGCAGAGCAGAGCTGCACGGGTGCGAGAAGCAGACGCTCATGGAGCGCTTCTATTTCCCCTGTGCCACTGCTGGGACGCTGACAGGCACCTTCCATCTGTGTGCTACGGGCATCTAACGAACCTACCCTGTGTGCACAGCCAAGTGATGCACGTGTGGGTGCTGCCTGGTGCCAGGAGCGTGCTCACACAGGTTTTCCCTCTCCTTTGCCCCCACACACGTGCTGCTATGGGGCAGGGGGGGGCCCTGGTGTTTGCTGCAGGCTGACTGTCACAGCCTGCAGGGAGGCAGGTTGTTCAGCCATTGCACAGCACCCTTCCTGCCCCAAGCTGCAGGGGAGGCCTGGGACCCACAGCACACGTAGCCTGATGGGCCTGCCATGTTGAAAGCCTGGAGCCTTCTTCCAAAAGCCTTGCCAGGTCACCTGCCTTCCAGATAATTAACCAACTCTACACACGTTTCCTTTCCCACCAAGGACCCTCTGCCCTCGGTGGTCTGCAGACCATGGGAGAGCTGCTGAGAAGTGAAGGTCTGTCAGCAGAACCACCAGCCTTCCTCCCTGCCCTGTTTCACTGCTGCACAGCCACGGGGGTCCTGGCTCCCCTACTGCCTCACTGGATTTCACGGTGAATAAAAGCAGAACAGCTGGTAGAAGGCTCCCTCACGGTGGCCATTTCCACATGCGTTCCCTGGTCACTGTGTAAGAGCAGTGAGGAGCTGAAAAACTGAGGAATTTGAACTTGGACCAAAGTCCACCTCTCGTGCAAACAAACAACACTCGGCTCAGTTTAGACAGATCTACCCTGGAATGCTTCTCCCCACCAATAGGTTTTTACCAGAAACCACTCAAACGCACCAGGATGGTAAATGAAGATATGCTTTTACTATAAGAGTCATCTTTTTGGTCCAAAACTTGAAAAGAAATCAGTGAAGGATACTTAAGCCTTCATAGTATAGAACATGGCAGCAACCTGACTGAATGTTTCAGCACGGTGCTTTGCTTTAACAATCCCCAAACAGGACACCTCCCTCCATCAAGCTGGAGGTCTCCATCTCCAGCCTGGCGGCACGCTCTGCAACCACCTGGGCAGCGCTTAGGAACTGGCTGCCTGAGACATATGGGAGCTGACATCAGCTAACAGCTGGTGCAAATACAGAGACTTCCTTCAGCTCTGACTGAAGGAAGAGTAGAGGGAAATCTACCTTGTTTAAATTTCATCAGCATGTAAAACGAGGGTGAAACGCCAACTTCTCATCCCACAAGGCAGCCATTTCCAGCCTGTTAAAAATGTGCATGCTCTCCCCTAAGATGTAGCTGGGAAGCCTAACCTTCTTCTGTACAGAACTGACTGTATTATTCATGGAGCTTGCTAACAGCTTGTTCCCAACTGCCATTTCTTTAATAAAGAATATGATTAAAAATGATGGTAATGAATTTCAACAAACAAATTAGCATTACATCTTTTCGTAAGTTAACTCGTGGCCGCACACAGTACACGTCTTCCTGTACGTTTCTTCATCAACGCTTTCTTCTGGTCCGTATTCATGTTCGTGGATACTGGCTGTCTTCTTCCACAAACTACTCCTCACTGCACGGCGAAGCTCTGGCGAGAAATTTTAAGGTTTTCTGAGGGTTCTGAAGTGTCAGTTAACAAAATTCAAGCCACCCACCTTTCCGAGGCCTGCACTTTGGCAGTCTGCTCGCTGACTGTCTTCCATGAACGTGAAGGCAAATCTGGTATTGCAAGAACAAGTTTTGATTTGCCTTGCAGCCAACGTAACCTCACCTCGTTTACATGATTTGAAAGGTACCATGAGAATAGCTCACAGGAGCTTTCTATCTGGAGGGAGCACGTGTTGCCCACTGCCTTCTTAAGCGCTGCCCTTCAATGACATCTAGACAGCTTAGGTGGAACCTTCCATAAAAAAGCCTTTTGTAAAGCCACCTCCTGTTTTTTCACAGGACTGGGAAGAGCTTTCCATTCTGCTCACAGTGTGTTCTCTGAGCTTCATGCCCTGCAGTGTGAGTTGGGTGTGCAGTTGTGGCAGCGAAGTTGCAAGTGAACCGGGCACAGACCTGCATGCTGAAAGTGGGTAGCAGGAATATTAAGCAGCAAAGGGTGGTAACGTTTTCAACCAAGTCAGTCAGGGTGCAAGCACTCTCAAGTCAAGGCCTGTCCTTGCCCTGCACTCCACCATCCTGGCTGCAGTCTGCTGCAATTCCCATGCTTGCTCAATCCTATGTTCTGCCTCCTCCGGGCTCAGTGAATGAGAACCTGAAGCTGAGCAGGCATGATGTGGGCAATGCAGACTCTGGCTAAGAAACAAACGTGCAGTTGTAAAAACAGCCAGCATGTCGGAGCTGAAAGCATTGGTCAGAATTACTCCAACTGAAAACTCTCCTAAATGTTACCTTGGAATAGTAAGGATGATAACCACTAAAAAAACACAAGCTGGGAATGCCTAAGGCACACCGTGCACGATACCAAAGAATTGAAAAAGCTCTGTAACACGCTGTTTGTTGAAATTCATCTCTGGTCAGCTCTGAGAGCAGACCAGACTGCTCCCAGCTCACTGCCACGGGCCACGATGGACCTCCATTTTGTCATACTGAAAACTGAGCGTTTTGGGCAGATGGAGGAACGAACTGACAGAACTGCTTTAGGTACCGCATTGTCCAGGTTTACCCATTTACCTTTCACTTTCTTATCAAACTTCTTCTGTTTCATCTTCTCTCTGCTGTCACGGCGCTGCTCCTTTGCTTCTTGCAAGGATTCCTCATTCCCCCACACTTCCAGAGCACGCTTGATTACCTACAGGATGGACACAGATGTGTTTCTTTTTGCCCTGAAATGACAGGAGCATCTGACTCGCGAGCATACTTTACGCACACCGCCAGTCTCACCATGAATCCTGCCTCTGCCTTGGAAATACTGACTCACAAATCTGAACTTTCCACGGTGCAAGGTGGGCAAGCTCACCCCAATTCAAGCCCAGCTGCAATTCCATGCGTATTCAAGCAGAGCTGCAGTGTCCTTAGCAAAGCAGCAGACAAGAAGCTGCCGCTCCTGCCACGGGCCATGCAGGACCGTGCTGCACACCGTGCTCTGCACCACCAGGCCGTGCACCTCTGCTTGTGCAACACGGGCAGGCAGACCTGCGTGCTGGATGCCTCGACAACGCTCTCACACGTGGATGTCTGCGTGGGTTTGGACCACACCTCTCTACTTCAACCACAGAGAGAATTTACACAGCTGGACTGAACGTTCCCACCCTTAGCAAACGGTTCAGAAACCCAAACTTAAGTTACAGCTTTGAGTTATTGGCAAAGTCAGGCAGAGGTAAGAAGAGCTGGAAATGTCCCAGGTTTCTCTGTACCTGCAGTTTTAAGTAAAGTTTCATGTCACCCCACCGAGGATTATGAGGGTTTTTCTTCACAATGAATCTAAGCACCGGTTCCCTCTTATCTAAGTCACAGTCTTTCAGAAGATACTCTTCTTTTGCTTCTGTCCTTGTGATGAGCTTATGTTTATCTTCAGCATCTCTGGAAGATATAAAGTAACAATGAGAAAGCTGCCCAGGAAAACCAAGCACTATTTAGTCTCCCAAGTTCCCATCAAGACTGCATGCATTCCTGAAATTCCAGCAGAGCAACAGCCCCCATCCATCCCCTCCGTTTTTATGCATGCAGCTCACGGGGAGTTCCAAGGACCCAGCTGAACTGCAGGACAGGTTTCCCGGGACCGAGTCCCATTTCAGCCAACAGACTCAGCATCTTTTGTCTGAAACCTGAAGGGCTTTCCTCTCTGATTTTTGTTTTCTCACAAGGAACGTAACCCCCGCGCCACGAAATCACAAATTGTTTCGGGCACTTCTCCCAAGCCGGGAGCCATTCAGGGGACAAAAGCACGAGCCCAACACATGGCCGGGAGCTAAGGAGTGTGAGCCAGGCCGACCGGCCGAGTCACAGCCCCGGATCGCTAAGGCGAGCAACGCAGACAGCTTCCCACTGCCAGACAGCGGCAAGAAAACCAAAACCTGGAAATATTAAAACGTACAGCTTGCAGATGAAAAGCTGTCTGCCCACGGCGGCATTCGTCAATTAAAGGCAAAATAAATAACTAAGTAAAAATAGAATAAAATTCACGTTATCCCGTATCCTGAGTTCAGCTGGGATCGCTCGGTGCGCAGCAGCTCCGCCGGGCAGGAAGCACCGAAGCCGGCAGCAACGCAGAGCCGCGTGCGCGCCCGCAGCGCCGCGGAACGGAAGGCAGCGTGAGCCCTCCGCCCATCGCAGCTCCCGGACGGAACTGCCCACCGACCGCTTCCCCGCTCCCACGGCTGCACGTGGCTACCTGCCCGCGGAGCTCCCGCAGCCATCTTTTATTCTCCACCCATTCATTGCTGAAACGGTGGTTGGCTGCGTCTCCCCACCCCAGCCATCTCCGCGGCGCTTCCAGCACTTTCTCCGCGCTAAGGGGACGCGATGGGGCTCACCGACCCGTCCCCTACCGCGCCATCCCCACCCCCACTGGCCTCGGGCTCCGCTCCCGGCCTGCCCCGCTCTGCCCTCCCTCCCCCTCCCCGGGCAACGCTCCTTCCCTTCCCTTCCCCTCCCCATCCCCCGCACCCCACCTTCACGCCGCCATGCGGCACGCACCCCTCCCCCCGCACAGCCGGCGTTACTCAGCGCGCTGCCCGGCTCCCCGCACCCCGCAGTGCCGCTCCCCGCTTTCGCAACGCGGGACACAAAGGTCGGCGCTGCACCTCCCGTCTAATGAGTTTTTACGGTTAACTCCGTGCTTCGGACGGAAGGCTACGGTAAAGAAATGAAGGCTCGCCCACTGTCTGCAATACCTGCAATTATCACACGTGGCCCAATCAAAGTGCTGCATTAGGTACGAGTCCATGAATTCTTTGCCACAGTCTCCACAGATGAGATAGTCAAATTCTAGCACGGGCGCTAACAGAAAGAAAGATCTCGTTTTTTTCCTTTTCTTGTCAAGAACTACCGCGTTAAACAGAACGCAAGCGAGTGGTACTGCAAGCAGCTTTACTAACATTTAATTGTATTTCACACGAGTCGTTACACACCGATTCCAGTTCTCTGTAATAAACGGTTTTCCACGAAGATACAATACAGATGCAAAGCCATCGCCATGCGCCCACACCCCGCCCCGGCGCATTTCTACACTTGCTGGAAGTTTCCCTGCACCAAGCGTCAGGTTTCAGCATTCAACAGCACACGCCTCGGTTTCCGTTTAACAATGGCTAAGAAACGAAGCAGGACCCCCCAGCCCCCCCCCCACCATCGCGGTTCCCTCGCGGCGCCTCACGCCCGCTCCCACCGCTCCCTCCCCGCGGCCCACATCGCGACCACGCGGCACGGGGCTGCAGGGAGGGCCCGGGGAAGGGGACGGGTGGGAGGAAGGCGGCGGGGGGCGGCGGGGCAGCCGAGCCGGCACTGAAACGGCCTCAGCTCGGCCGCCCGGCGCCCACCCGACACGCCTGCATCTCCCGAGGGCTCGACGGACGCCCGGGACGGCGGGCACGGATCCGTGTTCGGCCGGCAGCAGCGGGGGTGGATGGCCAGAGAGCTGCTAGGAGTGGAATGGGGATGGAGCTCCACTACAATCCTCTCCCCAAGCCCTCTCAGCACTGCTCCAAGCCCAGGCTCGTTCTGCGCCGGCCGGGTGCTGTCCTCGCCGGGTGCTCAGCGCCGTCCGCTCGTGCTCCGCGTGACACCGACGGGGAACTGCTGGCTACGGGGGAGGTTCGTTTAAAAAGGAAATAAAACCATCCTAGCGAAAAAAAAAAAAAAAAATACAACGCCTTAAACGGTTCTCATTCCTAGGCAGCGCTGCAACAGGGTAAGAATATTAATAAAACCTGAAAAAAGGTGGTTAATTCGCGGCGTGCGGTATCGTTCGTCTTTAATAGCGGCCGCGCCGGGAGCGGATCGCGCCCAGCCGACATCCGACCCGGCTCAGCCCGTCCGCATGGCGTGCCCTTACATCACGTTTCGTAATGCACGGCAGCGCTGCCCGGCAGAAAGGCGCTTTATTAGGACAATGACATCATGAATTACACAGCACGAACCGCCCGCTGCAAAGGCATCCCGCGTCCCCACGCCTTTTCTTGGAAAGAAAGAAAAAAAAGAAAAGAAAAGAAAAGAAAGAAAGAAAGAAAAAAAAATGAAGTAAGATTTAGAAAAAGGAAAGGAAAAAAAGAAAAAAAAAACCATCCCGACAGCACGGGGCTGCGCCTTGCCGTACTGAATCCGGCTAACAAAGAGGGACACTGCACCACGACGCTGCGGCTGATCCAGCGCAGAACAAAGCGAGACAAAGGCATTCCCAGAAAAGAAACTGCATCTATTTCGGGATCGCGACGCCTCCATTTGCTGCCGAGGAAAGAATATCGCGACGCAGTATGTCGGCATGCACCCGCCGCCGCACGCGGGTGGCTCTGCCGGACACGCGGGGCGGATTCGCCGCCGCCATCCCAAAACCAGAATCGCGAAACGAAAGGCAGAAGCAGCTCTTACCGGCAGGGCAGCGCCGTGCCCCACTTTCCCGTTCCGCAGTGCCGGCGGGCGCGGCGCAGCGGTGTGCACGGCGCAGCGCGCCGGGAAGAATGGGGGGGAGGGAGAGCAGGGAGGGAACTAAAAAACCCGGGAAGGGGGAAAAAAAAAAAGCCGCGGAACCGCCCTGCCCGCGTCCCCCCGCCCCCGCCCCGCGCCGTTACCGGGGGGATGCACGATCCTCTCGGCGGCGCCGCGCTGCTCCTCCTCCTCCTCCTCCTCCTCCAGGAAGAAGCCCCCTCCCGTGTCCACGACCTTGGGGGGGCCCCGCGCCCGCACGCCGCCTGCGGAAGACAAACCGCGCGCCGCGCCGCCTCAGCGCCCGCCGCCGCCGCCAGGGGGCGCCCGAGCGCATCTTGATCTCCACACACCGCCCCCCCCGCGGCGCGGGGAGGCGCGGAGCGCGCGCGCGCGCGAAGGCCCCCTCCCCCCACCCGTGGGGGGAGGGGAACCTCGCGCGCGCCCCCCCACGGCCGCTCTCTTT